GTTCCCGGGTAGCGGCAGGCCCGACGCGACACCGCCCCGCCCGGCGAGCGCGCCCGGGAGCGCGCCCTGCGCCGGCAGACGACCCTGCCCGGGGGCGCGCACTGATGCTCTGTATTAATTAGGTAGCGACAAGGGCGGCGGCGAGCGCGGCCTCTCCGGGGGCGCGCACCGATGCTCTTCGTTAATTAATTAGCGACAGGGGCAGCAGCGAGCACAGCCTCCCGGGGACACGCACCGATGCCCTTTATTAATTAATTAGCGACAGGGGCAGCAGCAAGCATGGCCTCCCCAGGGCAGGGACTGCGAAACAGGGCAGACACCCTGCTACAGCAGGCGGTGGAGCTCGTTGAAGTTGAGCAGGTTGTTGGCCGTCTCGGACCAGGCGGCATGGGTCGCTCCATCCATCTCGGAGGCAAGGCTGTTGGTGCTGTCCAGTGTGTGGTTCGTGCCCCCGATCACTGCATGGCATTCAGGGCAGATGCTCCTCTCCATTGCCCCCCCACAGTCCCCAATCACATAGATATGCCCATTTCTGCACTTGAACCAGTGGCCACGGGGACAGCCAATAGCACGGACAATCTGCACCCGCTCCACGTCGGAGATCCCCAGCCCCGACAGGGGCAAGGCCGCGTAGAGCCTCTCCAGGGCAGCCTTCATCGCAGCCTCATCGTCCTCTGTGAATTTCTTTGTCCCTTCCAGGATCTCACGTGCGCTGGCAATCTCTGCTGCCAGTGCTGGGGTGATCATCCCGCTTGCACCTTTGCACCTTGCCAAGAGGCTCAGCAAATAGGTCAGTCTCTGAATCTCAGACTGCAGGTCAGAGAGCTCCTGTCCTGTAAAACTGAGGCGCGGCTTATCCAGCCACTCCTGGACTTCATCCAGCCGCTTTCTCAGCGCCTTCCTCTCACTTGCATCAATTTTACTCAGAGAATTGATTAGGTCAGCTACACGTTCGTAGAAGTTAAGCTGGTTCTCCATTAGTCCGATACTCTTTGTTGAGAGATCAGAAGCTCCGAGTTTATCTTCTAGCATGAGGTACTTAAGGGGTAGATTCCTCTGCAGAACAGCATTCCCTAACAGTGCAGCCCGCAGTCTTTGTCTACTAGACTCAATTTCCTGTGCTGGGCCTTGGATTTTCTCTTTCACCTTTTCTATCTCATCTAGCCGTCTTTTCACAATGGTGCCATATCTCAAATTCTTTCTGATAGGTGTCTGACAGATAGGGCATACCTTCAGCTTGATGACATTGTCATCTTCATCCATATAATGGTCAAGGCCTTGGGACTCAAAGACGTGGCCACAGTCTTCGAGCTGTACAAATCGAGCGTCTGGGTCTTCCTCAAAGCCAAAAAAGATCTGGGTGAGTTCCTCACGGTCACAAACAAGGCACTTCTTTGGGCAAGGCTCTCCGCACAATCCAATACAAGGATGACCACAGCACAGCAGCTTAGCACATGGTACATTGCAGCGAGGCCTATTGCATGGTTCAGAGCAAAGATTGGTACACTGGTAGTGCTGGCACTGCCACTCACATGGCTCGGCACATGGAAAACAGCTCATTCCACATTTCTTTTTACACCTGCTGTGGACACAGCGGTTCTGACATTCCAACTGACAGGGAGGGCATTCTGCAGTACAAGGCTGCTGACACTTGTGGGAGCAGACCAAGAAGCGCTTGCACGGGCTGTTACATGGCTTATGAAATCTTCCTTCAAAGCACGTATGACAGGAACCTGTGCACACATGTCCACACTCCAGTGTGACAGAACACTTAGTCTTACATTCCACAGGCTTCTCGCCTTTCATCTCCTCAGCGATCCAGCATTTAAGTTGCTGGTTGTGGCCACATTTCAGCATGACTGTAACCAGTTCAGGACACTGCTTAGTGCATTCCTGCCCACAGAATTTGTTGCATGCATGCCCGCAGTTCAACTTTTTCTGGCAAGGTTCTTGGCAAAGAAACTCCCTGTCTGGAGTAAAGCATGGCACCATCTGCAGATGGCCACACTTAGAAATAGTTTTCTCTACTATCACCATGCATGGTCCACAGGGCTCGTAACATGACCGCGGACAGCGGTGCCCATCTGCACAAAGCACCTTTTGACAAGGCTTCAGACACTGGTACTCTTTGTGCTCTATGTCATATGGGTGACATGCCCTTGTGCAAACATGTCCGCAACTCAGCCTAAATTCACAGGGACGACTACAGCCTCCTTCTGGGACTTTGCTGAAGTCTGCTGCTGTAGATACCAGTGTCTTGGTTTCAGGGTGGTTTTGACAGCAAAGCACCAATGAGCGGCCAATGTGACCTTTCTCCCGAAGGGTGTGAATGATCTTGCTCCAGAGAGGAACCTTGCTAAGCATTCTCATATTTCCAATACAATACAGCCCTTTCTTAGCTCTGGATAATGCTACGCATATCCGATTAGGGATCTGTAAGAACCCAGTTCTCTCCTCTTTGTTGCTCCGCACAAGAGACAGCAGAATAATATCATTCTCCTCCCCCTGGTACTTATCTACCACATGAACTTTCACACCTGCAAAGGTTTTGGCTGGCATGAGCTTACGCAGACAGAAAAGCTGTCCAGTGTAAGTAGTGAGAATGGTGATCTGAGAAGGTAGATAATCCTGACACAAGAAGTATTTGCACAGTTCCACTACAAACTGGGCCTCATGTGCGTTCTGGTGGCTTTTCCCTTCCTGGATCTCTTGCTCAGGAAAGTCATGTTCCACAAAGAAGAGGTTAGATAAGACCCCCTGAAACAAGAGAAAGGAATGTCAGAAACAGAATTCCAGCTTCTGTCACTGCAGCCTGTTTCCATGTCCCTGATTATCCACTGACAGGAGGATTCTTAAGGAGACGCCTACAGTATCCTCTCAGATTTCCATAGCATATTCATCCAATAGGAATTTAAGCTTATTAATCACATTTCAGCTTATTAGTGACACTTCAGTATCCTAATACAAAATTAGTTCCTGTGGATGATTTTGTTCCCTATCTTTTCAAAGTTGTTTCTACTGTACCTTTTCAGTTTGTAGAAAAGAGAAGATTAAGTGCTAGTAACATTTCTCAAAGCATCATAGTTCCATTTCACACTCATGGCTCAAACAATGTCTTGTTTTGGCCACGTGGGAAAAAGATAGTAAGTAAACAGTGCACAAGGCTTAGCACTTGCCTAAAACTGCCTAGCAAAAAACATGCCTTCTCAGTTACTGCAGTAAAAACAAAGCAGCAAGGAGGATTGCTTTTCCACCAGGAAAACTAGGAACACTAGGGACTCCAGTAGTCACCATCTCCAGGTGTGTAGCGTTGTCTGCTCACCTGTTCAAAAATTCCATTTCCCTTGAGTTAGTACAGACCTTTATTTCTTGCCTATTAACTGGAATTCTTCTACGCATAAGAAATTCTTGGGCTATGTGCCAAAACCCAGAGACTGTTTTTATCAGGAAAGAACAGTTTTTGTAGATCAAACACAGATCTCTGGTTTTCCAAGGTGTCCATAGTGGCATAGAGCCCACTGCTGTACAATTTAATTCAGTGATCACCTATGTTGGTTATTGTAGTAGATGGGAGATTCAATTTTGATGCCTTTTAGTATCTCAAGTTTGTTTTAAGGCCAGATGGAACCATAAGATTCCCCAGAATAGCTTCTCATAGGAGAAATGGGGTAAAATTTTGTGGTCTCCTAAGCTGTATGTTTTCAGTGCCATTTGTTTGGTTGGGTTTTGGGGGTTTTTTGTTTGGTTTGGGGTGGTTTGTTTTTGGTTTTTTTTTAAATATGTTTAACTAAAGCATCTTCTACAAAATACTTGGTCTGGATTTCAAGATACCAAAAGAGAACCTGCTACTTTCTCAGATGATTTATTTACTAGAATAAAAGCTATCTTCAGGATTAATTTTCTCTTTTCTAGCTTCAGTATTCTGCTATAGTTTTCAGTATGCTTTCCTCACCCAGTTAAAGAGCTTTTAACTAATTAATACTGTCTTTTCATGAAGAGAGATTTACACAGGCTAAGTTACTGTAATCCTTTTTTGTAACTACCTCCAATTCTTTCTCCCCAGGTGTTCAGTTGCTTGTTGTGCACGTTAGCCAATAAGTGATCGCTTTATACTTTTAAGTTGAATAGATCTTGTTTGCAGATGTTGTGTATTGGTAAAATGCCCAAAGAGAGAACCCAAGGAAGGAGGGTTCCAGTAATGAAGTCACCTATCTTATGTTGGAGTTTCACGTTATTATGCCTTAGAGTCTCTCATTTAAGATTTCTTCCTAGCTTTCAATCTCCTACAGTTCTTTTGGTCCCTCTTCCATTTTTCACTGTTCTTTTAAAGTCATCAGTACAGGA